GAGATGATAAAGTTAAACAAATAAAATAATTAATAAAAAAAACATTAAAAAAATGAAAATTGAAACACATAAAAATAAAAAAATGGTTAAAATAACATTTAGTTTAAACAATAATATAAACTCTATATTCATAGATCGCTGGTGTGCTGCTCAACGGTGTTGTCTATCCGCAAGATATCCTGCAAGCTCACGAGCGTATCGAAAACAGTGATGATGAACGCTATAAGAAAATATTTCGTTTATTAAATGAGCATAATCTGCGCGCAAATATATTTGGAAATTTCAATGTAGCACGTGCCTTTGAGGTGCGTATGCTTTCGGTGGATGGACGCTTTCGTGGACAGGGTATTGCTAAAGAGCTAGTGCGGCGTAGCGAGACAATTGCAAGGGATTTTGAATTTAAGGTGAATGAAAAATTTCAAATTCAACAATTAATTAATTATTCTAATATTATTTTTACACATATACATATATACTATAATTTTAATAAGTGAATACTTTTTTATATTTTTTATATAATATTTGGATACATATGAATTATTACATATATATGTATGTATGATTTTTTATATTAAAAAAAATCTTTGCAGCTCATGAAAGCCGATGCAACAGGAATTTTCTCACAAAAAATTCTGAAATCAAATGGTTTCAAGGTATTGAGCGAATTCTACTATGATAAGTATACAGATGAATTTGGTAAGCCCATATTGTTGGTGGAGGCACCGCACATTAAATTGCAGCTGCTATACAAACTGTTGGAATAAGGTGCATATAACAGGTATGAAAAAACTAGATGAGTATAAAGTGCAAGAAAATTAATAAAAAAAAATATAGTTATAATACAAAAATATATAATTAAGCAGAAATAATACAATAATAATAAAAAATAACATAACATCATAAGAATAATAAAAAATATATAATACAAAAAGTTTTAAACAGAATTATAATAATGAAAAGTAACATAAAATTATTTATTAAAATCAACGTTTCAGGAGAYGTTTTTACTGTTTTTTCACACCAAACTTAATCGACGACACAGTATTCCACTAATACTGAATAAATTATGTAACACAAAAAGAGTAAAACCACTATAACAACGTAGTTATTTATAATAATAGACCGCATTAAAATAAATGTATATTAATGGCGCAGACAATTATTTATAAGAAACACATTTTTATTGCCATAATCGCATATATATATTATTTACATTAGTATGTAAATTATTTATTAACCTACTTTAGTGCAAAAGCCAAGCATGTAGGCTATAATTAAATATAATTTCATATACATATACACAAGTATACATACATATATAYATATATTTATTAAAATATACGAAAAATATTATTTTCCAAAATTTTTAATACAATAAATACATACGCACTGGTTAAATGTTGCAATAAATACTTTATAACCGCGACAATAAAAGAATTTTGTATGCGCGATATTTCTACTTTTCTAGCTGGAAGTACGTATGTACTAAAATAAAGATATAAATTATACTATTAAACGATAAAAACATACAAATATATGTTTAAATATATGTAAGTGCATGAGATTTCGTACAAATGCGTAGGTACAATTGTATGTAGCGTGCAGACTGCAAATATCTAAATAATAATTGTTACCATAAAAATGTGTTATGAATAAAATAACAAATATTGAATACAGCTTAGAAATACTTTAAATAATTGGTAACAGATAATTTATAAATTTTTTAAAAATTCGTTGCTTGTGTAGAACAACATACACATAAATAATAAAATATTTGTTTGTAATAAAACTATAAATAGTTATCCTATTGCGTTGTTTACTTAAGTTAAGAGCTTCGAAATTTTGCACATTTTTTGGCACAATCAAAATATTTTTTACATCATTAACTTCAACAATTGTTATTTTGTAATGTTGCATTAAAATTCCCTAATATTTTTTAAGTTTTTTTTGAGCGTTTTTCTATTATAGTAAATGCTTTAATAAATTTAAATTAGCAACTCGTCATTCCTTTCAATTTTCATAATTATATAAGTGTATATTATGTTGCTTACTTTGTTTTGAAAATATACAATTCTTTATACCGTGTTGCCCTTTAACACGGTACTTTTTTTAAGACTATAAACATGCACATACTTGGTTTCAGCAATTACACATTATTTGCACTTATTTTATCACAATATTTAGCTTGCCACCCTTGACAAATACAATTTACGCTTTCTGTAAAATTTAAGTTGAACGTGTCTTCCGTAGGCTCCTAATACTTGAACAGGAGGTTAAATGAGTTATCCTTTTGCTAGTTTGCTGTCTCAAATGAGCAAAGCCAGGAAACAATTACGCAGAGAATACTAGAGGGACACACAAGCAGACGCAATAGTCGATAGAACTAGTCACTAAAGATCAGAAAAATGCTTTTGTTAAGCCGGTAACAATAAATGCGTTGGTTAAAATATTGTAAATGCTGTGTAACAAGTAACTGTAACGCGTAATTTTTTCATATTAAATTGTAAGCGATATAATAATATCAAGCGATACGTCCCTCTAAGTAAATATGATAGTAGAAACTTTAAATAATTTTAGCAAGTATTAGTGTTAAGATGATTGTCCTTAATTTCGAAAAATCAGTATGACATCCTCATCTGTGCCATAGGCTTTCCGCGCTACATCCATTGCCGCCACAGTGCAACGACAGACATCTAAAATAAAATAAGTGTTTGACTTACTGCTTTAAATTTTATATATGTAAGTAAAAACTTACGTTCGTCCTGTACTTCCGGGTTGTGATAGAAAACCAGTTGAGATTTTAAATCGTAGCCACATAGTACAATATAATGTCCTGCATAACTTTGGGGTGTGCGTGTATTGTTAACGATACAAGAGAGTTGGAAACAACTTCAAATGAGTAATAAGAAGAAATAAATGTATTCAAATTTTGTGAAAAACTAAACAACTTTAAAGGGTGCAAAGTAGAAATGAAAATCAAATTAAATATACAAAATATCCTCGCAATTCTTGCACAAAAAATCTTGCCTTTACTACTGCCACTCCCACTCCACTTACCCGAATTTCTCCAATACATTCTTTTTACAAATTTCACACGTCAGTAATGATGCGTTGGTCAATAATATCACAGGCCCACGTCTACCTAAATGCTGCAGCAGCTGTTCCATTTCTATTGTACGTTGTTCGACGCGTACACCATTGAGACGCGCTTCTTGAAACTTGCGCGTAACGCGTTTTTCGTCCTTATTGATAATTTTCGTATAGTAACTATGTTCACTGTAGCTTGGATCGATACCAAGCGTTTTTGTGTAGTATTCGTGACGCACTTGGAAGCGTTGCAGCAGGAAGCACAAATCTATTGTCCAGGTGCTGGAACCAAAGCCTTCCTCCGCACATATTTTGTCGAAATCGTGTAATAGAACTTCGCGTTGTGATGTCGACAGGATCATGATGATGCAGGAAATGCCACAATCCCAATTGAACCGTTGCTGATAGTGTGTTAGGTTGTAGTGTTTCTGATCAGGAATAGCTAAAATATGTCATAATATAAGGAATTATACTCTATTATAAGCTATTATAGCTATTTACTCTCCATATTATCGTGGAATTTTGGAAAAGGTGCCGAAATTACTGAGGATTTGTTTTTGCTAACCTCTTCTGCTACTTTTGCGGATTTTATTTGATACTGTCATTCAACTACTTTTCTTAAAAGAAGAAGTGTTGGCAACCCCACAAATGTGCATTGACAGCGAAAACAGCTGAGAACGATTGTTTTATAAATCGGCGGTAGCCAAATTAAATTGTAATAAAAATGCAAAAGAAACGAGTCCGTGTAAGTAATATATTGGATAAATTGCATCGCGGTGTAGTTTATACCTGTATCGGTGTTACACTCTATGGAACATTTCTACTAGGACTGCGTGTGCATCGATACCTTACTGTTGTACGGCCCCAGAGGCAGGCGGAGCAACTAAAGATGATTGAAGAGGAAGGCATTGATAAAGCTAAAACCATAACAACATAGAATTATCTTTTAATAAGTCTATAAAATGCTAATAGTTGTATTTGTTAAATAAATGTTGTAAAGAGTTATTCCAGTCCCAAAAACCATATCATTGAGAGATATAGTGCTGACAAATATTTGTCAATAGTACTCGGGTTTTGATGATGTAATAACCCGGTTATTTCTAAATGCGTGTAGAAATTTAATTATTAAAAAATTCTTCATCAGACAAATAAATCTCCTTTTTATATCATTTTAAGTGCAATAAGGGGTCTAAATAGTTTTAAATATTTAAAATTATAGATTCAAAAAACGGTGCCTAATGTAATAGATCAGGTCAGCAGCCAACACTGAATTAAACAAAAATTTGACAGCTTGCTTTTTTTGTGCCTGACATTCACACTTTGACATTTGTCACTTTCTGCTTGATTCGTTGACAAGGGTCTTTTTCGCTGCTGTCCACTTTTTACTTTCTTTCGCATTTCATTGACGCATAAATTGGCATCGTTGTGAAAATGTCGGGCTTAAATTTAACCGTACGTGTGCATCCTGTGGTGCTTTTCCAAGTTGTGGACGCTTATGAGCGTCGCAATGCAGACTCACATCGTGTTATTGGCACATTGCTTGGTAAGTTGTATAAATATGTTGAAAAATGATTGAACTAACCACGTTTGACTGTGACGTCGTCACTCTCACTACATTTACAGGTTCCGTTGATAAGGGCGTCGTTGAGGTCACAAATTGTTTCTGTGTGCCACACAAGGAACACGACGATCAAGTAGAGGCTGAGCTTAGTTATGCATTAGACTTGTATGATCTAAACCGCAAAGTGAATCCCAATGAAAATGTAGTCGGTACGTATTTATAAACCTAACCTCACTTTCCTAATTTCTAAATAGTGAATGCTGACGTTTTCTCTATTCCTTAATTACACAGGTTGGTGGGCCACTGGCAATGAAGTCACTAACCACAGCTCGGTAATACATGAATATTATGCGCGCGAGTGTAACAATCCAGTACATTTGACAGTCGATACATCGTTACAAGGCGGTCGTATGGGTTTGCGCGCTTATGTTTGTATACAGCTGGGTGTACCTGGTGGCAAAACAGGTTGCATGTTCACACCAATACCCGTTGAAGTGACCTGCTACGAACCAGAAACTTTTGGTTTAAAACTGTTGCAGAAAACCGTTGGTGTAGCACCACCACATCGCCCAAAAACTGTCTCACCCATGCTGGACTTGGCACAAATTTCTGAGGCATCTAACAAATTGCAGGGCTTACTCGAACTTATTCTCAAGTATGTAGAGGATGTCATTGCACATAAGCAACCGCCAGATAATGCTGTGGGACGTCAGTTGCTCGACCTCATAAATTCCGTGCCACACATGTCACACGAACAATTTACACAAATGTTCAATGCCAACGTACGTGACCTGTTAATGGTTATTACATTGTCACAACTGATCAAAACACAATTACAATTGAACGAGAAATTGACTTTCCTGCCAACAAATTAAATGTAAACAAAACATCAATTAAAAAAGTAGTTTAAAATTTGTAATCACATAATTTTGGTCGCGGCAGAGAGTTGTAAAGGAAAGTAAGGGCGCGCAGAAATAAAGCAAAGGTTTAACAATGACGGAACATAGAAATGTTAGTGAAATATTTAAATATATTTGTATGCTGCGTGCAAGAAGGAAAAAAGCTGTGTTATTTATTCGCCGTTATTATATAAATTTATCCAATTGTAAATCGGGAGAAAAGGTAAATACTGTTTTGATTTTTGTTTAGAATTTCAATTTTAAAATAATTATTGTTGCACGAAACACCTCGCGATTTACATAAACATTTTTTTTTTAATTTTTATGTAAGCATATTTATGTCGTGATTAGTGTTCACGGAAGTTTTAAGTGCATAACAACTAAAAAAAAAACCTTATTTGTGTAATTATTTGCGTCTAACTGCGCTCAGAGTAGAAGACAATCACAACTTCTTGTAACGCCCCTTTGCCTGTTCACAACACCGCTTGCAGCTCAGAAATGCTACACAAAGTTGCAAAGTGTGCATTTGTGTTGCTGACAGAGGCCTGTTCCACATAATAAATTGAATTTTCCAATAATTGCATTTGAATTTGTGCATAGACCTTAAAGATTTTTTTATTTTGCGAAATCTCATAATAATAACAACAATAACAGAAACAAATTGAGTAAAAATGTGCATTATTGCCACACAGCAAGCGGATAATTTCCCATGCAACTTCATTTTTAATGCGCCGCATTGCATCAAACGCTAAGCGTTGTTGTTGCGCTAGGGTAGGCGATTGATGCACAAGTGGGTGGTAACCCAACGGAGAGTTAAAACGTGCGGAGCAATAAAAATAGTAAAGAAAGAAAATAACGAAATTACCAAGCGTTAAGTGCACAAAATGCATAAAAGCTCTGCTGCATTGGCATTATAACATCAACTATTGCATCTACACTGACAAAATTCGCTTTGCAAACATACTGATGTCAAGGTCGTACGACCAACAGATGAGTAGCAGGAAAACCAGCTGCCAGCCGGTAGTGGGTCGTGCCAACAGTGGGTGGATTGTGTCTTTACAAAGTTGCACAAATGTACATATATATACATATGTACGTTTGTAAACTGGTCAGTTCATTCATTATTACCCGGTCTGTTGGCTCGCCGATAGGCGTATAATTTAACGATTTCTTCATATCAGCTTGCAACAAACGATTTAGAATAATATAAATCATGCAAACATTCAATCAGCAATAGCAATCAATAAATATCACAACAATAAAAGTATGTGCATTGTTGCAACAAAACGATGGTATATAATAATTATAGCTTTAGGCAAAATGTAAGGTCAATTGCATTGTAAACCGTTATCTTAGCTTAGTAAAGCAATTTATGAGCGATACAACAATTAATTGATGGCTGGTAGCAGTTAGCCAGCACGAACTATTTTTTGCTTGTTGAAAATTACCAATGAAAATAAACGGTTTATATGACAGCTTGTAACCGTTAAACGAAAATTCAAATGTTACAAACCGTTACTTGATTAAATGGCCCAATTTGGTAATATTTCACATTTTAATATAAAATGTAATAAGCCCAGCTTCTGGTTTACTTTTGTTTTAATTTTTGCACAGTTTATTATGTCACTCGGCTTGGCAGGGGTAATTGGATATTTTTGCGTCATCAGCAGTTGTCACATAGGCCTTAAATGAAATGAAAGGCGGCATGGAAAATAAATATCCACCGGTACCCGTTCAAAATATTATATTACAATAATTGCTAGTGTTATATTAGTAAAAGTACATATGCACATGGCAACAACCAAAACTGTACTCTCCCAATCAAAGGCGGCAAATGGGGCAAACCAAGTCAAGTGCTGATATCAATTACAAGCTAATCCATGGTATAAATGATTAGAAGCGCTTGCATGTGAGGGGAGTACTTTTCATAAACATTCAAATACTTTAATTATTTTTTATTTTAAAGTTTTATCTTTGAATACGAACTATTTTTTATTATCAACTGTTTTTTTATATTTCCATGTTTTATTTTTTTTTTTGAAAATTTTACTTAGTTTTTATTTTAAATATTTCAAATATTTATTTTTCTTTAATTCAACTATTTTTGTTGTTGTGTTTAAAAATGCTTCTTTTCAAATATGTTATATTTTTATTCAAATATTCCTAATCCGCTAAATGTTGTTGTTGTTGTTGTTGTTGTAATGGCAGAATTTTGCCGAGTTGACAGTTCTTGGCCGGATAAAAAATCCGGGTCCGTTTCGAAGACCCGACTGTCGTGGGAACGGAATGTCGGTGTAAAATCAACGCATACATAATTTAACAGAAATTGCAATTAAATTAGGCCTAGATTTTATTACTCCAATACTAAATGATCCATGATTCCATTCTGCACCTATATAAATATTATCAATGCTTGAGATTAGTGTAACATGAGCAGTGTGCGCAACTGCGGGCGTTTTAAACTTCTTTCAAAGGGTTCATACCGGCGAACTGTTTCTAACTTTACCTATGCGCTTTCTGTTGCTGTTGTTGCCTCATTGTTGTGCTACTAAGTTACGCAAAGCGCGTTGCAAGCTTACCGTTGCCGTTAATTCGAATTTTTCGATATAAATAGCTGCCACAGCCAACGAGAATGCATCAAAGTAACAGCAGCAACAGTTAGTGTAGCATCAGTGTTAGCGTCGCAAAACATAAAAATGAAATATCTGGTGAGTTGGACGAGCAGGACATAATAATTACCTACACAAACATTTGACTAACTGAGTTTTTTCAGCAAATTTTCTTCCTCGTCATCATTTGTGTGGCGGCATGCCTAGCAGCGGTTGCCGAAGCAGAGGATGCTAGTGCCTTGGAGGAGAAAAAAACCAACAAACGTGGTATCTTCGGCTTCGGTTATGGACACGGCTATGGTCACGGTTATTATGGCGGCTACGGTGGCGGTTACGGTGGAGGCTTTGGCCATTACGGTGGTTATCCACATTACGGCGGTGGTTATGGTTTCCACGGTGGTCCAATCTACGGTGGACATGGCTACTTTCCTTACCATGGTGGTTACTACGGCGGCTATCATTAAGTGGCACCAGAGCACTTACATTTATAATTCAATTGCATAGCTTAATATCGACACAAGCGCCATGAGGTGTGCCAATATAACGGTTATTGTTTGTGTAAAATTTTGAATTTTCAACATAAAATAAATATTTTTAATAAAAAAAAATACTATGCGCCCATTTATCTATAAAACATCAACTATGTATACAACCTAACAAAATTGTAAAAAAATTCGACAAAATCTAGTAAATATTGTGATAAACAAAGTCAAATGCGATTTCTACGAGAATTCAACTTACATAACTGGAACACGGATTTTTATACCGCCAAGTACTGTCAACTCGGTTATAACAACAATAATGGTTCGGCAACAATTAATACTCTTTTTTAACAATTTTATACACATAAGCATTATATATTTGCGTATGAACTAATTTTTGCGACATCAGTACGTCTAGATAGCTAACAAATAAATTTAGAATTTACAAGCGTAACGAGATAAAAACTAATAACATTGGTCACGAACTTATGCCAAATATTCTCTTCTCCTCAGTCCGCATTCAGCAATTTCCGTTTCCGTTCCAATTTCATTTCCCGTTTCAACGCCTTCTGTTCCAATTCCTCGGCATGCTCGGCAAAGAGCGCATGCAACGCCGGGTACATGTAATGAAATTGCTCCAAATCACCCAACGTCACTTGCATATTATCAAAAGCTATCGATACATTACTCAACTGTGGCTGCGCTTCGTCGCCGCCCACTAGTTGCTGCATGCGTGGCAATTTTGCGTAGCGTTGTGAGAAATGCGTGAGTATTATATGTTGAGCTTGCATTTCGCGGCCCTGTGCAATGGCCTGCGAAATAGTGCTATGCATTTTTACTTTCGCTTCTTCGATTAAGTCATCTTCCATGGTGGCTTCATGTATGAGCACAGTGGAGTTGCGTCCAAGCTCGACCAGATCGCGACAGGGCATTGAATCGCCACTATAAGTGATTGTTATTGGTTCACGGCCATCTGTTGGCGCTGGCAGTCGGAGACAAACACCAAAGGAGTGCGGACAATGACGCACCAGGCAGGTGCCGATTGCATCAATGCCGAAATCAGCGCGAGTTTCACGTAAAAGCATTGGTTGCTCCAACATTTCGGCATTGCCGATGAGCATATAGGTTTGTGCAATATTCTCAATGCGCTCATTGTAGAAGTTCAGCCAAGGTTGTATTTGTATGGGTGCAAAGAGCAATACTTTTTGCTCTGCCTGTGGCACTTCCGCTAGTTGCAGCAAGCGCTGTCGCTCATTTAACAAGCCAATCAATCCGATATGATGATCGGCATGCAAATGCGAGATATAAATCGCTTTAAGATTACGCACAACGCTTTCAGCACGTGTTTTGCCATAGAAGCGCACAATTTGGCCGAGTGTACCTTCGCCACAATCGAGCAGCACAAAGGAATTTTCGGCTGGTTGTATCATAATGGCGCTCACATTGCGTGTTTTATTCGGTATGCAGGAGCCGGTACCGAGAAAAGTAATTTTGGGGTATTCAGTTGTACAATTCGGTGCAGGTAGCGTTTGTTGAATATCTTTTAGTTTGCTGAGTAATATCGGAAAGTCAGCGAGCGCCTGTGTTTCGCCAATATATTCACTGGGATTAAGTTGTGCTTCCGCGCTGCGATCAAGACCTACAAAAAAGTATAAATTAAAAACGTACAGTGATATAAAATATCAAAGTTACCCTTCCGTGGACGCAAATGAAAGTTTGTCAACGAGTTTATATTTGTTAGCTGCGTTTCATTTGCGTCTTGTGCAGTTTGTGTGCCTTCTGCCACCTTCTCCTTTTCGCCTAATTTAGTTCGCTTCAATTTATTGCTAATATGCAAACTGCTGCAGGCATCTTTTGCCTCGGTGAGCAGTGGAAATGTACGTGTATTCAATTGATTTAATTGATATTGTATGCGATGCGCAGCTACATAACCAGAAAAGTTGTTTTGCGGCGAATTCAAATATAAATGCTGTGTTCGTGGCGTGAAATTCTCCATGAAATCGCGATAGCGGTTGTTTTCCAACATTTCGGCCGGCGTAAAGTGCACCACCAGCGCAACTTCATTTTCCACGTCCTGTTGCAGATTGCGGAATACATCCACTTGTGCTTGTAGTGCCGGTAAATACTCAGCTGTCGGTATATCTAAGAACACAAAGGAGAGTGCTGTTTCACTGGGCTCACTCACGTCCTTAGAATGCACCACGGTGCCATCGAGCAATGTAACATCGAAGCCATTCTTCAGTTGACCCAACAGTGGACCAGGTGGCACACCACGTTCAACACATTTGACCAAATTAAGCGGGCCTGGTCGTGGTTTAAGCTTGCATATGTAAGCAACCACCATTTGATTCTTGGCATCTATCATTTGTGTAGCATTTGATGTGGGCACTAATGGCTGTTTATAAAGCGGCACATACTTGACGCTCATCACTGCGTCTTCAAAATCTGTCGATTGTGTGCAATCACAAGTATTTATCTATAAAAAAAATGTATTTGTAAACGCATGCAAAAAATATGCTACACATACCTTCAGTGTTTTCAGTACGACAAAGCGTTTCATGCTGTGTAATATGCTATCCAAATGTGGTGGTCCATGCAGCGCCATTTCCTTTACACCTGCGTCCTGTACTGTTAACGCTAAGCCTGGGAATCCACCCACTACCGGCCAAGTGTTGCGCGTCACGAAAATGTGTTCTAAACGCGCTAACTTTGTTTTGTGCTCATGCGCTAAACGCTGTGTCCCTTCACCGCAGTTAAACAAATAACGTGCCTGATCGGTAAACAGATAAATGGCACTTGGTGAACCATTAGCACCGGCACCGAGCACTTGTAAATTCACTATACCTGGTATATAGGGCGTTGTTTTCTTTTTGGCGGCTTGTAGCTGCTTTTCCCGGCGGAGCTGTGGTGGTGCTGGCTTAGGTTGTGACGTGCTAACACTTACTTTAGAAAGTACAGAGTTAAGCGCATCTTTGCTTGCACATTTATTTTCAATTTTATAATCATGGTTATTTCTCTGCTGTGCCATGTCTGCTTGTGTTTCCCCCAACTGTGTCACAGTTGTGCAGGGTGCTATTGGAGATTCCATGTGCAGGAATGTGTTTACTTGCGTAAATTGTAAAGTAATGACACGTGCAAAGCTACGTCGCAAAGTGCTGTTGAACAACATAAGCGTTTACCTGTAAATATGTTTTTTTGTTGATGATTTTGCAGAATCGTTTTTGATGAAATAAATAATCAACACGGTGTTACCTACAGTGCTGCTGACTTCTTCGGGTAAAAACACATGCGTCGCTGAAAGCAGCGTTTTGACATAACTTAACAGCTGTTCAAACTTTTTAGAGATGACAGCGAAAGTAAGTAAAAAAAAAAAGAAAAGTCTGCAAGAGTTCACCTCGAATGTTTCTATAGAAATACACCAAACCTTATTTGTTGTATATTTATTAGAACGTCCAATGCCTACTATTATTTAAATAGAACCCCTTTCAGCTTTATACAATAAAAAAATGTAAGCAAAATATCAACAAAAGTCTGTAATATCAAATTATATTTTTGAGCGTAATTTTCATTAAATGTGTTAAAATTTCTCCTTCCTCGCTACAGTGGTGAACTCAACTCATATGTTTTACTATGTTTGACAATTCACACGCTAGTCCGCAATTGAACATTCTCTATAAATCTGCATTCTCGAACTAAGGGGGGCGAATGCCAGCTCCAAAGCAACTAAAGTAAAAATCCACTTTTGTGTTGGTGTGCTAAAATAGAAGAAATATCAAGAAAGCAGCCAGTAGCAGAATTGAGGTTGAAAAGGGAAACGAAACCACACAAAGATAAAAGCTGGAACAAAAGTGTGTTGGGAGAAAAAATTTTCTTCGATATTGAGCTAAAATTCATTAGAAAATGTCCTCGCGAAGGTAATTAGAATATAAAGTGCACTCGGATTATGCTAGTTGACAAATATGGCGCTGGTATTTAGTCTAAAAACACGTTTCAAATGTGTACAAAAAGTGAAATTTTGCAAATTGGCATTGTACTCGGTTGACATATATACTGCTATACGCGATTACTTTGTGAGTACGCTGATGTGCGAACGCGGTCGCGACTGAGACCAAAGCCAATGCAGCTGGCTGGCTATCGGACTGCCTGCCTGCCTGCCTGATTGTCTAGCAATGTGTTGCGTTGCTGCTGTGGCCTTCTGTTGCTATTGTTGTTGCTGACTGCCGTGCTGATGCTATGCGTTGTTGCTGAGTGCATGCTGTCAATCGTTTACGTGTGTGCTTATATGCATGCATATAATTAACATGTGCGTGTATGCGTTTAGAACGCTACTGTCGTCATTACCACCACCACCCGCCCCCACTTAAGCGCGTATATAACCCCATTTGACGATTACGCGTTTGCCGCTTAGTAGCAAACAGACGGTAACAAATTTGATATAAATGTAGTGTGATGAGCATTGAATCATTAGAGAAATTAGAAGATAATAATGCTTCAAATACGTCCAAAAACTATGATACCAGCTGTGATGCGACATGGCCTCCCTCACGTTTTCGTTGAAATCTGATAAAATCGCTTGACAAACGTCAAAGATTACGCTTACAACATAGAATGTCCGTGCCACCCAAACTCCCACTTCCAGACTGTTAATAGCAGCTGCACACGACCGGCTTCACACTCGTGTCCTGTGCACACAGCTGACGAGACGACCAAAATTGTTGCTACACACACACACAYACGCATTCGCAAGCGATAAAGCATACATACAAAAGAAGTAAACTAAAGCTCGGGTATTAATACAGCTCCAGGATTTTTTTTACAGAAATAAAGCAATAAAAATGGAAAATACTGACTCCTATGTGAATTTGCAGGCAGAGAAACGTTTTGAGATACTACGTCGAAAAAAGTCATTGCAACTTAAACGTTTGATCACAACTACTTTGTTAATGAAAATTTTTTCTTCCACTTGTGTAGATGGTTTCACCCAACGATAAGTGGTATAGAAGCTGAGAATCTGCTGCGTGAAAAAGGCTTCGATGGCTCATTTTTAGCACGCCTCTCGTCTTCAAACCCTGGCGCTTTCACTTTATCG